ACAGGGCCAGGCGCTCCCAGTCCCAGACCCAGATGGTCAGGATGTCGTTGTGAAGCCTATGCCGTCAAGTTGCTCCTGGACTTGCGGGTAGGTGGGCTTCTGGGCCTCCATCTTCCAAAGCTGAGCCCAGATTGGCAGGAACATCTGGCTTTTATAGCACTGGGGCGGGAACCGGAGGCAGATGCAGGAGATTAAGAATAAACAAGGGAAGGCTGGAGCGTCCTTAAGAGGAGGGGTTTACGATTGTGACAGATAGGACACCAGTCCTTCTCAGAGCAGACAAACAAGGACACAAACACATGTCTTTGGACTGTGGAAGGAAACCCAAGCGAGCATGAACATACTAAATACTGTCTGTGCAATAGCAGTTCCTGGAGAGCAGTAAACCAGTGTAAAGAGTGTCAAGGATCTGCGCCTGTGGCTGGAAGGGTGCTGGTTCATATCCCGCAGCCAGCAGGGGAATCCTGCTCCGTTGGGCCCCCGAGCAAGGCCCTTAACCCCAACTGCTCCAGGGGCGCTGTACAAATGGCTGACCCTGCACTCTGACCCCAAGCTTCACTCCCTGTCTGTGTGTCTCATGGAGAGCAAGCTGGGTTATGTGAAAAGTTCCTTATACAAGAAATTGTAGATGGCCAATAAAGTGATCTTATGACACTCCATGCTCACACAGTGGTCCCTCTACCCTTCCAGGACTGCTTTTTTGTAAAACCAAAAAAAGAAAGAGAGAGAACCAGACAGGTTAACATAAATCAGGGCAGGGTTAGTCACGCACGCTGGCAACCTGGGAAGACAGTTTGATGGACACGGAGAGCAGGGTAGATCAATCGGAGTAGGAGCTGCGGGGCCTCTTGTCATCTCCTCCATGGTTCAGCAGTTTCGGCTTTGAATCTGCAGCATTTTTCAGTCACGAAAACTACCCCCCTCAAGCAATCCTGCTACTGCACATAGATACACACTTACAAACACCTGCACACACACAGATACATACACACTTACAAACACCCGAACACACAGATCAACACACATACACACTTCTAAACACCCGAACACACAGATCAACACACATACACACTTCTAAACACCCGAACACACAGATCAACACACATACACACTTCTAAACACCTGAACACACAGATCAACACGCATACACAAATATACAGTATATACAAGAATAACACACACCTGCACACATACATTAACAGATAAACACACATTTACAAACACCTGCACAAACACCTGCACACGCACAAACATATACACACATGTACACTTACAAACACAGATAAAGACATTGATACACGTGAAGAAACACATACACTGATATGCACCCTCACTTGTACACACTCAATGATAAACACACACGTGTACCACACACATAGACACACCTACAGAAATATATATTTACACATACAGTACAGTTGCACAAGAGCTAACACGCTCACAGATATACACAACATATGGAAATGCACAACACGACCCCCCTCCCTTCCTGTCCACACTAACCTCAGCCATAAACCAGCTTCCCTGCACTTCAACAATGTCACCTGGTGATGGATCAATAACTAGTCAATACTTCATTCACCTCAGCTGATTTTTTCAGTGACTAAGAGGAGGCTGAGAGTGAGCACCTGGTGAGCTGGGGAAAACTCTGTACCAGTCAGCTCCAAACCCCAGTGACGGACAAGCCTGTTCTGCGTTCGTCAGCTCACCACTATTTTTCTGCGACGCACCTCTTTACTTTCCCCGACAGCGATGTGCTATCCATCCTTCTGTCTACCTTTCCATATACTCAATCCACAAATCTAAATCTGTCTACACGTCTTTTCTAGTCATATGTCTGGACACTCAATACTGAAATCTAATATGATGGCTGTTTTATTTACTCAAAATTGTGGTGGGTTATTTATATTCATAAAAATGTGATTTGAAAAAAAAACACAGACTGTGAAATGTATAGTGGTATATGGTTGCTTGACACATTTGAACAATAAAGTTTAATTTAAAAATGTAACCTTATCTACAGTATCAATCAATCCGTCTCTCTGGGTATAGACCTATTGCACTTTTAAACAATGGCCATAAAACTGTACTTTAGTATTAGAAAGCCCATTTTCCTCTGTAGTTCTATAGGAAATCATTCTTGCTCACCTATAGATTTTTCTACATACTGTACATATAGAGTGATGGTAACAAAGATACATGAAAGCAATTTTTCTTTAATGTCCATTTCATGATTTATCCAAACACAAAATAGCTGCAACCTAAGGAGTAGCAATGCAATAGATGTATAAATGTAAAAATCTGGCAGTGAATAAAACCGTCCCACTAGAGTGTTCAGCCAAGCCGTGACTATAAATCCAATAGCAGAGATTGACCCTGTGAAAGAAATCAGGCAGTGCATAAACCAAGCTGAATAAATAAGGCTTATTAAAGCCTCCAGGAGGAATGAGAATCCAATGGAGTGAATGGTTAAGAATGAGATGCTCTGAAAACAATGAATTTCATGTCATGTTGCAGTTCCATCTTTTCCTAGCAGAGGGCAGTGTTGCCCAGAGAAAGACCTATTCCAAAGGCCCATACTGCCGTAGCACATAACCTTCTGTTCATCCATATTTGCTTTTTAAGGTTTTTGCACAGAAAATGTGCTTTATTTTTTGTAAGGAAGAAAAAAAAAGCGAATGACACGCTTCTTCAGAGAAGAGATCTGCCCGCTACAGTATTTAACACACACAGTGCACGCTTTTGGACTAGCATCCTTCGAAAATGCACATTTGACATTATGAGAGGCTTGGCAGAAAAGCAAAGACACACGCTTTGAGTAAGATGAATTGGTGGACATTCTGATTAGACAGACCGAACACGAAAACAGCTGGACAAAGAAATGAACGCCTTAGATATACACAATAAACAGAACAAGGTCTCATTAGGTAATGGAGGAACGTGATCGCACATCAGTTACCACGAGAGACAAGCTAGAAAACAAGTGAGGGCGCATGCGTCTTTTTGGATGGGGTTCGGGGTTTCAAGGGTTAAATCAACAGCCTCCGATTTCTATCCCCACTATGACACTGGATATTCACAACCAGCTCAAGTCCTCCCCCCCAGCTCCATATTCCCTCATTCCCCGAGGGTGACAAAATAGGCAGTAAATGTGAGAGCCTGCAAATGTGGGCTGGGGGTTCAGTTTGCGCATCGTTATTAATATCTCACCTCTCCCCTTTCGCTCTGTAAATTAATATCAGCCTGCTCCGTGCCTGCTCCAGCAAACCTCTGGCCACCTCCTGGCAGTGGGGCTGAAGCAGACCAGGTAGAGTACTCAGATGTGCTGTGTGCTCTTGAGAAATTCTACAAATCTCTGTTATCTGGCCAATAATGCTTGTTTTAAAGCAATATCTGGCTGCAGATGTTCACAAATGTAACAAAGTGGCCTGTGAGAATCCCATTGCACATCTCTTTAATCCATTCCGGGTTTTACAGGTCATTGTGCACAAGCAAACATCAGATCCTGGTTACTTCATGTTTGTTAGTAAAGCTGCTTACATTTTGGTGTTCCTGTATATTTGTGCTCTGCTGCTTTATTTGAGCTCTTTGTCAGAGAGCTGGCAGCCGGTAAGATCTGGAGAGGACCCCACTGCTATACCATAGGAGTCCTGCTTCTGTGCCATGAAGTCCACAGATAGCTGAAATCTAGTAAACAGTAAAGAGTGAACCATAAAATAAGATCAAGTGCAAACTGAAGCCAGCCACTGATTTTTAGGAGTGCGTTGGACACAATGAATCCGATTAAACTGGGGAGCATTCAATCCTTTAGAAAACGCATTATCCAAAATCCATATTCAAATTCTGCGCTCTGTGGGAAGATCCCTGCGCCAAAACGACAAGAGATTTACGTTCGAGAGAACGCACATTTTAGAAAATCCTGTTACAGAGAAGCAGCATCTCGGTCGGCACAAACGAGAAGTAATCAGGTCAGGAAACATATTGTGTGAGGCTTACAAACCACAGGAATGGGAAGCAGTTCAAGAATGCTTCTCAATTCCTAAGCGTTGGCACACAATGCCTGCAAAAACTTAAAAGGGACCTTTAAAATTGCTCAGCACCATCTGAGCACAAAAAAGGCAAACCTCTTTCAAGGGCCAGATATGAGAGGAGCAAAACCACATTGCAATACACGTGCCGCTCCGTGGAATGAAAAGGGATTTCTGATACCTCATTAAAGGCAGTGTATTTCACTACATGCTTGTCGTCCAAGAGAAAGTACACAAATTAGGAACAACATTGCTCCCTTTTAAAAAGAAAGTGAAATGTCAATGATGGACAGCTTTTGGGGTGCTTTGGGGCGACATCTTTGGATTTGTTTCCTCTCCCACACCTCCGCCCATACGCCCACTCCCCGTGTTTTCTCAGAAACAGGATTTAGCGTCTTTGTAGCACGTTGACACCTCTACCGGAAACGACGCTGACCTGTCCTCTCCTTAGAGCCACGACCTCGTCCAGTGTTTCCCGCTTTCAAGCAGATTTATGTCTCATTTTCTGTGCCCCCCTCCCCTGCAATTCACCCCCCCCCCCAATACACACACTCCCCTGACATAACTGAGCTTTTTCATGGTCCTTCTCTTAACCCTTCCACCACCTTCCAACACACACCGGCTTGCCTCTGGGGTGCTGTCCCAACTTGAACTAGCGCCACACTGGGTCATTGTCACTGCCAAGGAATGGGACCCGAGATACTATTGCAAATTTCTCCCCTCTCCTCCATCTCTCTCTCTCTCTAGTCATCCTGCTTTGGCCTTTTATTTTTAGCCAGGGACCTGAGCCCCCTTCAGAACTTAATATGGCCAAGGCATCCCAGCCTCCTTCTCTCCCGTCTTTCCTCTCTCCCTTTGGAGCCCGCCAGGGTGTGAATCTGAGCTTCCTTTCTCTCTCCCTCCCTCTCCCCCTCTCTCTCTCTAGACGAAGAGATGGGAGGGAGGCAGGAGCGGGTGCCAACTGTCAAAGATAGTTCTTTCCCCCTCCCACTCCACCTCGGGGGTCTTTTTTACCCAGCTTCCAAGCTCTCTCCCACTTTTTCCGCTGCCCCCTTCCCCAAGTGCAGCTCGTACCTCGGCAAGCTCCTCGTCGGACACGCAGACACACCCCACCAAGCCTGCTGACACACACACACCACGCACTCGCTTCCTCCCGAACCGAACACACGGGCAGGCCCAGTTCTTCCCCGCATGCTTCCTTGACGGACTAGGAAAGGCTCGTCGGCGACTTCTTTTTCTCGTACTTTTCCGGGACGCCAAGCCCCCAGGTCTTCGTCTCTTTTTACCCCCCTTCCCTTCCTTCCTTCTAGAGCCAGACGTCTCGATTCTTGCCTTTGCGCCGCGCAGGACCGTCCCCCTAAGGATCACAAACCACAAACAATCGGGAGCCATGAAGCTGGGCTGGGTGCTTTTGGGGATCGTGCTCTCCTTCGGGGGGCTAGCCTGGGGGGAGAAGGGTCTCGACTTCCCCGAGTACGATGGCAAGGACCGCGTCCACGACCTCAACGCCAAGAACTACAAGGCGGTGATGAAGAAGTACGACGTGATGGTCATCTACTACCACGAGCACGTGGAGGACGACCGGGTATCTCAGAAACAGTTCCAAATGGAAGAGCTGATCTTGGAGGTGAGGTGGCTTGGGGAGGGGAGGCGTGGGGTTTGAAAATGTAGGGAGGGTTCGTGGCTTTGGGAAATATGAATTCCGTCTGACTCCCAGGCAGGAACGTCTGTGGATTATTCCCTGTTGCTTGGGTTGAGTTCACCACTTCTAACACTGACAGCATCAAGAAGCATCTAAAGCACCCTGAGCATCTCTCAGATTAGCTGCCGGAAGGATAAATGCTTCAGTGTATAACCTCATCATGTTGTTTTCTAAGTAGGCAAGCAAGCAAGCATACGTTTAGCAGGGCAGTAAATCTTTCAGAAGCTCGGCCCCTCAGTACCATGTGTACTGCGTCTCATGTGTTTATGGGGGATTGAGGATTTTGTCCCATACTATCTGTCTTAATAATCTGAACTTTCAAAGTATTTGCTGTAAGTGATTGAATGGCTCTTGTGTGTTTATAACCTGGCGGTTGTGTTGATGTCAATTGATTTCCATTGCTTTCCCGATGCTTTGCAAAGCGTCGTGCCTGTGAATCGTGCTGAAAACCACACAGTGATGTGGCTGAGACTCTGGGTTTCTGCCTTCAACCCTTGACAAGAAAGCTTCTCGCACTGAGACTCCATCTGGGCAGATAATGGCTTTGGAGGGAGATGTTAATGAATATCTATGACCAAATGACAGGTGTTCTCAGAGCTGTGTGAAGTAGAGAGAGCAATGATCTCGCTGTTGCAAGAAAAGGACTGCCTCCTGCTTCTCAGTTACACACAAACTGCTGTGAAAGCTGACTGAAGCTCTGGTCCAGAGGCACCTAACTGTCTAAATACTGCCATCTGGAAAAGGAACGGTTGCTTATTTAATAATGATTCTAGAAAGAAACGTTATGGTATTAAAAAGAAGGACATCATATTGCAGAAACAACGGTTTTAAAATGTAAAACAACATCTTCCTGCCCTGTGAGTGTTTCCAGTGTCTGTTCAGAGGCTCTTGTCCACTAACTTATCACTGAAGGCTACTGGACACATCCAATTTCGTCTAAACACTATCAAAAAGTAAGAGTTTTCTTTTATTGGCGGTTTATAAGATCTTAAAGTCAGATGATTTAGAATTTTAAAATGTGAAATAACACATTTTATATCCAGGAAGCTGGACTCCGATTAAATAACCGTTTGAGTGCTGTTTATTTGACGGAAGAGCTGACAGCAACAGCTTCCAGTGCGCTCTCTTGAGAGTGGGAGGGGGAATGGTTGAAGCTGAATTTGTCCAACGGCCCACATACTTCAAGGATCTCCTGCGAACAGTAGACTATACTGTAAAGCCCAGTAGCTGGCTTTGAACATCTACTGTAACAAGACCTTTTGAGGGAACGCTTGTTATAAGCAACGAGCGTCTAACAGATTCAATTCAGAACCGATCGGCAGATCTTTAGGTGTCCCAAAGGACTCCTATGGTGTGACTCCAAGGCCATGACATATAGCATCGTTAAGAGCCACCTGAGACCGATGCATGGAACGATCTGTAGTTGAGTTGAGTAAAAAGAAAACACCTCCATATTTGTTTGTCTTTTTAGACGATTAAACAGAATTGAGAATAATTTCACCCCGCTAATGAGCACAGATCTGATTTGATCTCATGCCCGAGTACTTTGAAGAGCAGCTTCTATTTATAGCTTCTACAGTGAATCAGATCAGGTATCTAAAACTGCGCTGTCTTACGGAACCAGAAGCAGCTCTTTGAATGGAACAGCTGCGAAATTTACTGATGTTGCGATTACTTGATTTATGTATCTTGTTTATGGCTTTTTATGGGTCTATTTATTGAAAAATGCTGTTTGGAAATAAAGGGAACTTTCTTTTACATGGAATGCTAGCGGTCAATGTCTTAGACGTTTATGATAGATATTTATCTTTGTGTAGCGAACCATGTTTACACCGATGAGGGTTTGAGATTGTCAAAAAGTTGCTAAATGTTACATAAAAGTGTATTTTTAAGTAGAGGGAGTGCGGGCCACGTCGATTCTACTTTTTTTTT